TTTAGTTTAGTTTATTTACATTATTAGCGTCTATATATCTGTTACAAATATTTAAGACTTGATACTAATAATTATTAATACATTACAATCACACCACATATAAATTTACAATACATTTACAATATTTCATAAGTTATATCAAATTTTTAGAAAAAGAAGAAAATGTAATATGTGTATATGAGGAATACTTAAGCATATCTTAATATAACGGTGGTTCTATTCTTTACATTAACTAGATATTTATTCAAATGCTGTTATTTCTTTTGCTGAAACAATCATATATATATTGCTACTATTTTTTGTATTGATTTCTTTGGATTTATAATAAAAGCAAATTTTTCTTCGTTTTTCAACCAATTTTCTATTCGTTATTGTGTTATATTTTCAATCTTATCAATAAGATATTTTCTTATTTTCTTAATTAGACAACAATACTTTGCAGCAATTTGTGAATTTTTAGTACATAACGTTTTCACGGATATATGTTATGCACTCCACTAGCAATTATAAAACTAACAATTTTCTGCATAAAGTTTTTTTTTTAGTTCAGCTGCCGCATTGTCGGTGTTTCATGAATTTTGCTTCGGTCTCCAGCAGGGGTACCTAATTTGTTATTTCGTCTTCTCCAAAACAAGAAGGTTTATCGTGAGACTATTTCCAGAAAGTGCAGTCCTAAAGGCAAGTTAAGATTACTATAATAAATTACGACCACAATATCCTTTGGGTTCTTCCGATCCTTGTTATACACGAGAACCTTCTACGACCTTAGCAGCACCTATTATTCTTCAGTCTTAATTGTTCCTGATCTTCTTGCTCGATATTGTCCACCTTACGAAATATATCTGCCACAGAATTCAATATCAATACCTTCAAAATGACCCCTATTCGAGAATACGAACTTATTCTTTGTTGCATCAACAATAGACATGATATAGAAATATTGTGTAATGCCAGTTAACCTTAAGAGAAATGCAGAATGCAGAGTTAAGAGGCCAAAATATATTCCAACAATTTATTGAATATCTGCTTTGTTTTTAGCTTCAGGATGCTTTTTCCACTGACAATAATATAACCTGAACGAAATATAGACAGGGAGCAAGTAATTGATATTTGGTTTTAATCGCTCTGTGATAAAAAATATGGCGATGATTTTGGATTATATCGTATTATATTATTTAATCTCATGAATTTGCAAACTCCGCATTGGTTCTTCTTGATAAAATATAATTATATCACGTTAAAGAAAAACTAACTTTACAAACAATAAAGCTTTGTTTCATTGAATTTCGGGCTGTTGACAGTTTTAGACATTTAGGGAAAATAAAAGACTGCAAATGGACTCATTAATGTTTAATATGGCTGGGATTCAGCTCATTAAGAACCCTTAAATCCTCCGTTTAATATATCGTAGAGAAACGTAACAGATGTCAAGCAAAGCCAAATGTATTCTAATCATAAAATGTCTCATTTGATAAACAGATACGCGGTGTTTTGATMAAACATAGCATAGATTTCGTATTGAAGGACTTGAAGGATTTTATAACTACGATAGTTTGATAGTTTTAAGGTAAGCTTTGGAGAACAAAACGGTTTCTTCTAAAAGAGGCGTTTCGCAAAAATTTAACAACCATGGTTTCAGCGAGAACTCAGTTACCCTCAGTTAGTACCATGGATTTGAATAACTGAACTGTTTGGCTTGTCAAATAAAGACTGTATAGCTACAATGGTTTGATAGTTTGAAGGTTAACTTCGGATAACAAAAATGTTTCTACAAAAAAGTCCTTTCGCAAAGGTTTAGCAACCATGGCTTCAGCGAGGAATTTAGTCCAAAAATTTGAATAAACCGTTTCTCTTAGAATATATTTTTTGCGGGTCCATCGTTTATTGGCAAGTCTCGTCAAATCACTAAAGCCTCTTCTCGTTTCATGTCATCGATTATATGTTTAGTAATAGATTCTTTTTGTTAATTTGTGTCATTTATTTCCTTTTCGTCATTTGACTGAATAACTCTAACGAGCCCCGCTTGTCTCCCTCGGCCTTTCAGGAAACTTGACATGCGTCGTCGTATTTACTTAACATATATTCTCTTTCCATGACATCAATGCGCCTAGCTGTCCGTGTTTCGGTATTTAAAAAAGCGCTTATTAAGGCGTTTAGTCGTCACATTTATTCTACATCCTTTTCCCAAGATACTTTGTCGCTGTGACTTTGACCTCCATAAAAGCCTTGGAGCTGACGCATGCGCAAACAGTAATGACAAACCTGATAGAGTATTCAATATGCTTGTCGCTGTGAACTAAGGGGGGCGAGTCGACTATCTCCCTGGCATATCTTGTAACTATTTTCATAATGTGACTGGATAGAAAAGGAAAACACGGTTCCAAAGGCATGGTAACTGTTAAACCTCCATAATGGAAAACAACCTCTCTTCGTCTTCTTCAAATGTTAATGGCAGCGGGATGTTCTCTGGAAGTCGTCGGCTTTCCGTTCGGCCATCCAGTCCAACAGGATTCGAAACAGGAGGACGTCGAAGTTCCCGTGCCATGCTTGACCAAAAGGATCTCTCGCCAGCCATTCTAAAAATGGAGCTTTTGAGCCGAGTCATAACGCTTGCCATGAAAAAAGAATGGTCGTCAGTTGAACAACATCTTAACATCCTTGAGAAAAACAACTTGGATTTATCGTCGTCCGAACTTGAAGTAATACTTTAAATTTTAGCTCATTTATCATAACAATCATCATCTTTTTAGACTTTACACCACTTCATTTACGTTGCTTTGGTAATAGAAGTAACGTATTTTTTTAGATTTTCGCTGGCAAATCTCCATAAACGTTTTTTTCATTTCTTCGTAACTATGCTTTATTTAGTTTCCAAACACCTTATTTGACAAATTTGAGCAGCGTATTTCAATTTTCTTTTGTCTATTTCTCTTCTTGTTCAACCTGTTGTCGTCATCAGTGACTTCTCATGGATAAGGAGGATCGCAATACACCTGTTATTATCTACGGTTTTATAGTATTCTTTTAATTATATGAAGTTTGAAACTTGTTCGCCGGTTACATTATTATATTTTACCGTGAGCGTACTAAAACTTATCTATATTATGTTTATAATATAAGGTGCCATATTTCTTTGTCGTAAATCAGGGCTATCCGGGATTGCATATGTTTTCCGCGTTATATTGTTAACTGGCGACGCTATCATTTAAAACTGCTGAATACTGCTAGTAACTAATTTGCCGGCCTTCTAGTTCTCCTAAGCCAGTTTGAATATATGTGACCTAGAAATCATATTGTCCATACAAACGTACAAAACTTATGATCTTTAAACATGAGAAATGTTTTCTTCGTTCTTTGATATAATAATAAATTGCAACTGATTCGAAGGTTTATACAAGACATACATATGGTAAAGCTTTAATCTCTGGCTGCTCTCTTGATTTCAATTAGTTCGTGCTTCAACGAACTTAGCTTATGAGCCGAAAGTACAAGTACACCGTCGAGTGTGTATAAATTATTTCCGTAAATTATCTGATATTTATCAGTTATTTTTCACTCGTCTCCTATTTCCTATATTAGGTTTTGTTCGAAATGCAAAGTCAAGAAGTGAATGGTAAAAGATTTAGATGTTCAGCTGTTCGCTCTGCAAACTCAGCAGAAATACTTTCATTTGAAAAAAATGAACTATAAAAGCATATATTTATTGTTTCTTCCTGATTTCCCTGCCTTCCCCCGCAACAAATGCCAGGATAAACTTGAAAACTTTGAAGGTTGAAATCAGTTTTAATTTTAAATTTGGCAGAATTGTGTCGCCTACTGCTTCTTCGTTATCTTTTCTTCCATTTCTGCGTATAATTGTATTTCCTGTGGTGTGATGGGAAAGTTGTTTGCAGATATGATTCAAGCAAGTCTTTCTTTTTTTCTCATCGTGTTTTTCCTCTTTTTCTTACCAGGACAATGGCCTTACGCCTTTAATGCTCGCATCGAGGGATAACAAACATAATATCGTGGAAAAATTATTAGAACTTGGTGCAGTTGTAACAGACAAAGACAAGGTAGGTATATATACATTTACTGATGTCTAACGTTACTTAAATTGATTGAAACATCATCCTTGATTTGCATACATGTCAATCTATCGCACAACTGATAAAAAAACTGATCCCCCACTGAAGTTCCTTTTTCCAAAAAAAATTCCGTCTTTAAAACAAACATCACCTACTCGATGTAAAATTTGATTAGAAAAACGGCATCGGTGACTTTATCGGCTTGAAAGCTAGAATCTGGAATAACCACTTATGTGCTACGCGGCTTTTAATGATTATATTTTCCGAACTGTACTCGTGTAACGTAAAAACGTATATGGAAGCAATATATTCCTAATGCTAGATATTTTAATAAACAGAGTTTCAGATTTTTTTTCCTTTCCCTTTTCTTTTTTTTTTTTTTTTTTTTTTTTTTTTTTTTTTTTTTTTTTTTTTTCTTTTTCTTTTTTTTTTTTTTTTTATTCTATTTCTTAACCACTTTCTTAAAATCCTCTGTAGAAATTAGTAAGATAATTATCATTATTCTAATCCCCGTCCTATCTTTTTAATTTTATATACGGCTTTTCACAGTTTTTTGTTTCACTAAACTCATCCACTTTTTCGTCGAATTTACACTTGAAGGCCTAAAATCAAACGCCAAATAACAATTTTTAGATTATCTTAATCAACTGTGAAGGATGTAACAAATCGTAATAAGCATTGATCTCTCCGAGTCTGACCTGTACTTTTTCATTTCAGTTGACTGTATTTACAATTCATTGAATTTAGTTTTATCGGTAAAAGCCGGTTGAAATGAATATAAACTTTTGGCGTTAGAAAAAAAACGTATCTTTCTAATGTTATCTTACTATAACGCTTAAAAACTGTAGAACGAAGATTTTATAATGATTTCCGAGTTTAAACTGTATTTTTATTTTTTTCATTTAAGTGGCTTGTGAGTCACAATTCATAAATAAATATKAACTTTAACAATGAAAAAAATCGTTTCTACTGCTATCCTGCTACAACGTTTAAAAAGCTGTAGAACGAAGATTTCTGATGAGATAAGAGCGCCAAAAAAATTTAAAATAATTATGTAGAACAAATATAATCACCACAAATGTACCGCTCAAGTTGCTTCACTTGAACATAATTTACTTTGTTTTTCCCGCCACTATGACAAAAGTACATGTAGTCTAAATAACTCAATAAAAGAAAAACTAACTTGTGAACACCGCCCTGAGTTACTGAAACAAAGACTTAGAATCATTTATACTCTAAGGTCCCAATTTCCTCGCCGCAGTGGGACAAACGTCTCCAGAAAATTTATTTGTTCTGTCCATGGGGCAGCAATTTTACCTTTTATTTTTTCAATTATTTGCAAGCTAGTTCTCCGTTAGACATTGGACTTGAAGGCGCCATCACGTCTGGAATTTTCGACGGTTTTATTAAATTTAGTATCTCAAACTATTAAAACCAGGATTTAAAGTATCTTTGACTGGGGAAATGTGTTACTAGGTCAAGATTCTATCTATTTGTATGTTAATATGGGAAAATTAAGCACGAACAAATAATGGTTGGGTCTGGAATCAATCGAGTTTTCAATTTCTTTTTTTTTTTTTTCTATCTAGTTTATTTTTCGTGTTTTGTTTTTTCTACCATCTGATTTCTGTTTCCAAGCCTCTCTTTCTACTTTCAATCTGTGTTACAAATATTTCATCTTCAAACTTTGCGAAGCAAGCTCCTATTTCCTTTAATATCCAACAAGATATCCATGTAATAGATGAATAATACGAAAAATGCCTAAGAAAACTATTGATACTAATCGTAAACTATTTACTTTGGTTATTTATTTTAAAATTAGTCCAGATATAGTTCTTTTTCTCTGTCAACATTGCCTGGCCACCACAATTAACAAAAGTCCGTGATGTGGAAAAGCAACCATTGTTGGAAAACAATGAATATGCACCATACCCAAACTGGGTCAAGATTTTAATTTTCGTTGATAAAATAGTTTTTTTTTAATAGTTCGTAAGATTTTTTTTCTTTTTTCTTTTAATAAATCGTAAGATGTTCATCCATCTTCATTATATCGATATTTTCTCTGCGACTTCTTCAAAAGCTGCTCAACCAACAGCTAATATTTACTGGTAGAATTGATTCATTCAGGTGTCCGTTGACAGCATTTTTATTTGGTATCTTTTTTGGTTCAGGCTGTATGTCCGGGTTCAAAAGCAACCGCTTGAAAAATTAAAGAACCAATGACCAATTTATTTGTTTTTCTCCGGTTCATAAATAGTCTGAGAAGCAAAATAAGGAATAACTAATGTGATCAGTGGAGTGTGCGATACTTTGTAATGAAAAGTATTTCTTTTTAGTAGATATTTTTCCGCAATGCTATTGTAATCTTAAGGGAAAACTTATATGAAAATGTTCTCAAATACACACACACACACACACACATATATATATATATATATATATATATGAGTGTAAGTGTGTGTGCCAATAAACTCGGAAGAAAACATTATAGAAAAATTCCTATTATTTTAATTCAATCTGGATAGTAATTTTTTTTAAATGCCACTCACGTGATCAAGACAGGTTGCCACTAATCTAACACGGTCAAGTTCAAACACTCAGACTACCAGACTCTCTTGCACACTTTCTTTTGTTCAGTGAATACAAATTTAAATAAGAAAGAAAATTCGCGAAGCATCTTGTTAGTGACACCATCTTGCAAACGTCCTATTGCAATTTTTTTTTTTCTTTTCTATTTCAAACCACGCCCGGCTCTACGTTCTTTATTCTCGTTCCAGTCCCTTGTCATTCTTCTGCTCCCATGGCCTCTTGCTCGCAACACTAGATAACAAAATGTCTGTAAAACGATCAGAAGTGGTTCGGTTTTCGTGCACGTTGCCGTGACAACCTTGATTACTTCGTCGTTCACGTTTTTGACAATTCAGAATAGCTAATTACTAAAAAATAATCAAAAATAAATAAACGTGGTAATAAACATATTGTTAACAAAGAGGTAACATTTAAGAAATGCTTGAGAAGTGTTAATTTTTTCTTTTGTTACCGCTGTGAATAGCCACGAAAAAATAGCTTGAATTCTTTCTTCATTCAATAAGACGATAACAAAAACGCTTCACAAGAAATACTAAAAACAGCAAAGAGAAAAAATAGTATTTGTTAAATTGCTAATTTACGAAGAACAGTTTATCTTCTTATCATTTATTAACTTAAAACGCTTCGTCCGATATCTCTAAGATAACAAACCAATTTCCCATCTTCCATCACTTAATCATGTTTACGAGATATTCGACTCAAACTTCACTGAAACGAGATATGAGAACACACCTAATTACTTTCGTATATAAATTACCCATTTCAAACCATGTGATGTTTAGATGATGTTCTCTGGAGAAATATTTCTTTCGAATGTTTTCATATCCACATAATATGAACGAATAAATTTCACAAAGAGATAAAGGAACAATTCACGTGACTTGAATTGCAGACGTTGATTTCATTCGGCTTTTCTTTCCTTCTCTCTCTCTTTCTTTCTTTCTTTCTTTCTTTCTTCCTTCCTTCCTTTCTTCCTTCCAGAAGTAACAT